ATTTTGATTTATCCAAATATGGAGCTGAAAGGCCTAATCAATTAAGGACTCAAAAGGATTGAAATCGATGCCCTCATCATATTGTGTATGATTTCCAGGCACTGGTATTATTTGAGTGAGTTGAAACAAGTGGAAAGAATGGCTGGGAGCAGCAAGTACAACTTAAAGTGGAACTCCCACCACGCAGAGACCTTCAGCAGCTTCGACACCCTCCGCAGTCGGGAGATGCTGGTGGACATCACCCTGTCGTGCGACGGCCAATCCCTGAAGGCGCACAAGTTGGTGCTGTGTGCCGGGTCCGGATACTTCGAGCGGGTGCTCCAGCGTGACAGTCATCCGAACCCAGTGTTCTATTTTTTTGGCGTGGACCCCCATCTCCTGAAGTTCATCAGTGACTTCATGTACATGGGGGAAGTGGACGTTCCTTCCGTCGACCTGGAGAAGTTCATCCAGTTGGCCGAAGCCCTGGAGGTGAAGGGACTGAAGGGAGACCGTTCCAAGACTTCTCACAGTTCTGGCCCGTATTACAATGCGTCAGGGGCGACCATCCCCGTCTCACACATGCAGGATGCCCTGATGCATAAGCGCAAGTCCTACAGCGAAGACCATTATCCTCCGAGTGTTCCCAAGATGGCTCGACGCAGTGTGTGTCCACCAGCCGGCCCATCAGTGAGGAGTACATCTCGGGTGAGTGTCTTCCTCTTCCCTGCCAATTTTGGCATTGATAGGGCCATCTCCAGTTCTTAAGTTCATCCAAAATATTGCAACGCAGTGTGTGTCCACCAGCCGGCCCATCAGTGAGGAGTACATCTCGGGTGAGTGTCTTCCTCTTCCCTGCCAATTTTGGCATTGATAGGGCCATCTCCAGTTCTTAAGTTCATCCAAAATATTGCTTGTCCTTCAAGATCATAACATTTGTAGTTGTTAATGTCAAGGGTGGTTTCATAGATCTGTGATTCTTGAGGAAAGTTTATTGTGTCATCCATTTGGCACTGCTAAACTAGAGGAAATGGCATTCAGTTATCATTTACTTTACATACACTGTTAAAGTGGTTTTCATAAATCTTGGTATCGCTTTGTCAGTTGTTAGCATTCCTGTAGGTAATTTTTCGCACTGCCTTGTGCCGAAGGAGTTGATCTGATTGTACAATTTTAATATTTTCTCTGCATTTCTTTTTTAGGGTCAAGCTGTAAATCAGACATCTGCCATTGCCTCTGCATCCAGCCCAAGAACTAGTCAGGTTGAAGCAGAACCCACCATCAAAGAGGAAGTCGTGGACTTGGAAGAGGATTCTGCACAGGGTGGGGACTTTGAGCAGTCGGTCAGTCATCAGTTCCTGTTTCAATGTGTAATCTGTTCTTGTTTCAAATTCCTGGGGAAAAAAAGAGAAAACAGTTTCCTAGGTTTTTTTTTTATACAATTTTTCTGAAATTTGGAGATTCTTTCAGTTTGCCCCTTCTGATGAAGTTTCATTGCTGGAAAGTATTTATTTTCTCATTTTGCAATGTGTTATACAGTGTAGTAAGAAAAATTTGCACCAAATTCAATATAGTAAAATCCTGAAAATGTGGTTTTAAACATATTTTTCTACTTTTTCTACTAATTTTTTTTATTTGTGCCATCCCTTATTTTGTCATGTAGAAAGAAATAGTGAATTGTTCAATTTGCCCTTCTTTTGGCCTTGCAAAGAATTTGTAAATATTCATATCTACATTGATTTTCTTCCCTAATTTGGGAAGAAAATCAAAGTAGATATAAATATTTAAAACTTCCTTATTATTTCTTGTTGGGAAAAGAAAAATAGTTTTCAACATGATGTGTGTCCTATGACAAGGCGGAGCAGGAGGAGTGGGACGAGGAGGCGCAGGCCTCCTATTACTCCGAGGGCGAAGGGGCGACTAGGAGCAGCCAGGACTTGCCTCAGAACATCCCGCCTGAAATTGATCCATCAGTGAGTCGAAGGCTCTTTGTCCCTCGTTGAGTCTAGAGGGGTGCCGGATGGAAGGCTGGGTGAATGCCACGATTGCAGATCCTTGCGCAGTTGTGGCCTTGGGTCTTTGCAGAATGAAAGTGATAATGAAACGTGGATTCACATTTGGATAGGCCACCAATTTTTTTGCATAAATTTTGCCCCTGATTGGCCAATTATGCATTTTCATGTAAAATGCCAGAAAGTTGCATTTGCTTTCTTAAAATAATAATGAAATTTCAGTTTCCACAATATTTCCTTCAAACATTAACCCTTAAACGACCGAGCTGGGTCAAATTTTGCCCAGAACCTATGTTATAATATGCGAAACTTTGAGGCTTGGTAGTTTAAGGGTTAAGGCAATCTTCTTAATAAGCTATGCAATTGGAACATGTATAACATATGAACATGTTTCACAGTCTTGGTGTAAGTGGCACACCACCAACCATGAAAGGGTTTATGACCAATTGTGCATAGCACTCCAGAAGTCCATAATTTTCATCAGTTGTTGGTTGGGGCATTTAGGATGAATTTGGAACTGAGAAGTTGATACCTGTTTGAAAGATTTTAAATGTTGGAAGGTGATACAAAAGTTATTTTCCAATGGAATCTCAATTGTATTTCTTTTTCGCAGATTTATTTGGAAATCTAATCATATTTCAAGGTATTTGGGTCTTGTTTTAAGCTTTCCTCATTTTCATCTGGGGTAAATGATGAAACAGCGTTTGTATGTGGACTGTTCCCCCTTCACTCAAAGAACATCAAAAAGCAATGTCCAATATATCACAATATTCTGCACGAAGAATTACATAAGTGGTACGGAACACGATGCGCCGCATTAGGTTCGGCAGATATGGACAGGATGACAAATTCAGCACTTATTTTGAATGTTTTGTGTCCTGACATTTTCTGCATTTATTTTGTACTGTACTGGATGCTGCACTTACTACATCATGAACCATTAGCACCATGTTGTATGTACATCTTATGTTGTGGGTACTTACTCTCTACATATCTCTCTACATATAGAGCATATCACGTCCTGAATTCCATTGTGCAGCAACATTTGGATTGCCCTATGGGGCTGGTGATGGTGCATTTGCTGGGGTGGATTTTTTTTCTGGAGGCTGTTATGCAGATGTGGCTCCTTTGGCAACATTTTGGGCTTCACAAGCATCTGCATTCACTTTTGCCTTTCCCTGAACACTTTTGGGCATTTGTAAATGAAGCTGTCCTCAACTGTAGGTTATGCTGACACCTGACATGAATGAGCACCTTCCTTTTCTATATGACTGTGTAGTGCCTTCATCATGATGCAGGATGGTGCTGCAGGTTTGGTTGCATCAATCATGAGTCTGTTGCAATGATGATGAGTTTGGACTTTGTGAAATAAGGTTTCTGACTGTGTAGCATGAAGGTACTCTGTATATCCGAAAGTGTCAGATGTGAGAAGACCTCATGAGAGTCAGTTTTTGGGAAATGCATAGTCATTCCCCATCATGTGAAGAAAGATGCGGATATGGAAATTTCAGATTTTATGCAACACTGTTGATGTGAGTTATATTTGACAATTACTTGGAGTTTTTTTTGCTTATGAGGTAACTAAAATGAGGTTCTGGTGATATCATTCGCATCAAAAGAAGTCTCCCTTTTGGGTTGCTTGTACTCATAGAGAGCAAATTTTTATTTCTGCAATTGTGAAGTTTTACCTAATACATGAATACTGGAATTAGAAAGAAATCATTCATTTATCTATGAGATGTGCAGTTATGCAATGAAATGTATATACCATGAAATAAGTGCTTTTGGTTTACATTAGTACGTGCATGGTGTATATGCAATTTTTCACTGGTAAATTTTTTACACATGATAAGAAATGGTAGTTCATACCAATGTATGGACGAAACATTGGATTATTGAGAATGGATGAATGCATGTACCAACTGGGTGTCATTTGGTAATTCACACATTTCACTCCTCATGTATGTTGTTGTTTGCAAAATAGTGAGGTAGTGTAAGCCCTCAATCCAGCCAGTTTGAATGTGCGTTCTGTTGCAGAACACCAGATAATAGCAACATATTTCCAGTACATCATTAGTCTAAAATTATATTCTTCTTACCTGCTCAAGCTGAAGATTCAACACTTAAGGGCTTTTAATGATGAATAGTGTCTCAATTATTCACTTTCTTATATTCTTAAAATTAGTATGTTTGTGACCCATAAAGTGCCTGTTTTTCGGAACAGGCTGGGTTCTGAAAGGAAGCCAACTGAACAATATTGTCATATGTGCGTGATATGTAATGCTTGATGTTAGAGAAGATGTCTGATAATGGGGAATAATACATTGGTGCATGGACAGCCTTTGCGATGAAATTGATGAGCATTTTGAGGATTATAGTTTTTTATGTACTTACTAATTTTAATTATCAGTATCCCTCATGGAATTCTCATTCCAGTGTATAGCCAGTACAAGCTTAATGTTTAGAATGTGTGGAATGGAAATGATAATAGTGCTGCTTTGTGGTGCCTGTGGGCATGAGCATTCAGAAAGCGGGTGCTGTAAAGTGCACGTTTTTCGTATAAGAAGTGAGATAGTTATTTTCTGCTAAACTTGGCAGAAGCTTGTAAGTGCCTCATAAGCAGTCTTAGGTTGTTGATGCACAGAATACTGAACCATCGTGGAAATCATTCTGGTCTGGTACTGCTGTGAAGGCCCTTCCGGTGTATCTCTTCAGATTTGCATTGTTCACAGCAGCGCACAATTTCAAAAACATTTTATCATAAATACTGCTAATCTCATTTCAGACCATAAGGGCAGATTCAGACTACGTGTGGAGTGGGTACACGAGTAGCAAGATGAAGGTCTGGTTTTGCGGTGCCTGCGGGTACGTGAACCCGAAGAAGGACAAAGTTACGAGGCACGCCCCGATACACTCAGGAGAGAGACCGTATGTCTGCGCCGAGTGCGGCAGGGGCTTTACCCGACAGGACAATCTCGTGAAACACTTTGCCGCGTTGCATCGAAACCCTCAGCATTAGTGCCTTACATGTGAAGTAGGTTATGAAAAATGCTGAAACGAGACTGCGAAACTGAAGGCAGAAGATCTTCGAAGATGGAAGTTGCCTTGAAATTGTCAGTTGCATTTTTTTTCTGGTGTATCGGTGAATCAAAGATACCATACGAGGTTTGATATTTAATGTTTTGCACTGAAGTTTTGGTTTTGATTTTTTTTTTTTACCCCATGGTGATTCCTACCCTGTAACAAAGAGTACAAACCCCAAAGTGATGCACATGCTAAAGATACCGTTGTAACTATTTATAGATAGTTCAGAAGAAAACGGCAAGTGAGCATGTTGAATGGACTCATTCCCACTGGTGACAGAAAATATATCTCTGAGGAGATTTATTTGTCCAGCAGAGAATCAAAAAACTGAAAACAAATTTGTGCACATGAGGAACAATAATCATTGACCTTTGGGCAGAAGGTCTTGGTGTGGAGCTTTTCCTTTCCATAAATGCGGTGCACCCTCGGCGTTATCAAAATAAATCAACCTTGGGTGTGGGTTTTTTTGGTAGCTTCCCAAGTAATTGAGAAAAATGCCTTAGGTTTACTGTGTCGGCTTGAATCACAAGGAGTAATTGAATTGATATGCCATCTTGCCATGTATGTTTGTTTCATGCCTTTCTTTTGACCCTGTTAGGAACATGTTCTCTCTGCGTTCACATAATTTATGCACATAAATGTGATGCTTGGCTTTTTGTGTACTCTTTTATTGAAGCCTCATGTTGGTTCTAGAGGTCCATGCTCTCACGGGTACTATTACTGCTGCTCTCCTTTTTAAGTTGTCATGGCCCACTGTCACGTTGTGCTGGGTGCGTAAAAAAAAATCCCCTGGTTTTAAGGTATTAGTCTCTGCTCTTACTGTTTTCTCCAAAGTTGCAGACTGCATACATTCACATCGTTGACCACTCATGCCGAAGCTTGAGCTGTAAATCAAGAAAAGTTGGATTCTGATTGTGGTCAGGGTCTTCCAATTCCACTCCTTGGAGCTGGAAGGGAGGGAGAAACAACATGATTTGCGGGTTTGCGTTAAAATCTTATCAATCTGCTGGAGCACGAAGCTGCCATACAATTTTGAAATTTGAAAATATACTTAGAGCTAGGGCATAGTTTGCTGTAGCAAAATTAACTTCGGACTGGAAGAGTACAATTACAAAAACATGTGGTATGAGAGGGTGCTCTCCTACAAGAGCATTGGAAAAGAGTCATTCTGAGTGAAGCTTTCTGCAGTACTCTGGTGGTAAGCCTTTACTTGCTGCATTAATAAATTAATAAAAATTGTTTCCGGTAGCAAGTGCGTTTGAAACCCCATCCAGTCGTCCAACAACTGTTGGATTTTTCATTTCCATATTTGAATCAAAGCATGAAGAAATTATGTGATTCATAGCTGTCTCTTCTCATTCTCTCATGAGTGCCCATACTTAGAAGTTGAGCGTAGAATTCATCGTTTTGAAAATTACATTGCCGTGAACCAATTGAACAAGCACGATGAGAAAGTACAAGTGCCTTATTATAATTCATGTCTTCAGCGTTGAAGATATGTAAAAATTATAATAAGAAATTATTGGACTGATACCGTTGGAGACCTGTGCAGTGGGTGTATGCAATATCTCCAGAATTTTCTGCAGCACTGGATAATTTGATCAGCATTTAATTTCCCATGCTGCAAATCTCATTCCAGACAGTAAGAGCAGATACAGACTACGTGTGGAGTGGGTACACGAGTAGCAAGGGGAAGGTCTGGTTTTGTGGTGCCTGCGGGTACGTGAACCCGAAGAAGGACAAGGTGGCCCGGCACGCCCCCATACACTCGGGAGAGAAGCCGTTCGTCTGCACCGAGTGCGGCCGGAGCTTCACCCGCCGGGACAACCTCATGACCCACCGCCGGTTGGCCTCGCATTCCAAGTTCGTTTGAAGCCTCGAAGAATGGGAAGCGAATCCGACCGATGGTTTTCTTTGAATACGAGTGATATATTTATCGATGTATGTAATTGTCCCAAATTATTTTCCTGAAATTTAAGGAAATCAATCGATGGGAATTTAATGGGAACAATTTCTGTCTCTCCTTCATCTCTCTCTGATTGTCGTGTAAGTTCATGAAATTTTCCGGTGGGTTTGGGAACTGTGGCATTTATGTTGTTTTTGTGCATTGCATTTAATAAAGTATTTCTTGCTGTTGAATCAATTGTAGATTCATCTTGTTTGTCTTCAATTGAAATATGGACTTTTTTTTCTTAATTGTTGACTATTCCTTGCCCAATTCATTCTAGCGTTTAATACTCCTCTAGTACAGCAGTAGGAAAGTGATCTGGGTGCAATTTCTTCTTCCATGCGATTAGAATTCCCCTACTTTTTTTATTTATTAACCATGTTCGAATTCTCTCTGAGCGAACCGTCATGCAGGTGGGAATGCTTTTCTAAAAAGTACGTAAAATATATCTCTCAAGTTGCCTGTGCCAGAATGCATGCGTGATTTCAGGCACTGTGCTTCAATACAATAGGACCATCTGTTCAAAACCCTGGAAGCTATTTTTTCCCAGGGGTAACTGGATTAATGAACACACTAAAATAACTCAGTAGCTTCAGTGCCACTACCCTAGCGCTTCTTACGCTGTTTGGGCGTAAACATAACGCACGAGGTTAAGCCTGCCGCAGCGGGGCACTTTCACTACCGGAAACCACGAAGCATTGATGTTCTGTGCTCGCTTGATGATCTGCCTTCTTCCGTCTGGACTTCAATTGCAGCTCCTCTCCTGTTGCAGACCATCGTGGTTCACAAGGACTACGTGTGGAGTGGATACAGTGTGGGGCACCAGCTGAAGATGTGGTTCTGTGGTGCGTGCCCCTACAAGAGCATCAACAAGCAGCACACGGAGCGGCACGCCCTGAACCACTCCGGCGAGAAGCCGTTCGTGTGCGTGGTCTGTGGGAAGTGCTTCCGACAGCAGTCGCATCTGGTCGCCCATTCCATCACTCATCGGATGAAGTGATCTCTGTGATCTGTCATCGAAGATGAAGAAGTGCTTGTGATACGACTTGTGTGTAAGCAGTCTGTGGGAAGTGCTTCCGACAGCAGTCGCATCTGGTCGCCCATTCCATCACTCATCGGATGAAGTGATCTCTGTGATCTGTCATCGAAGATGAAGAAGTGCTTGTGATACGACTTGTGTGTAAGCGTAGCTTCACGCAGAATTGAATCAGCTCTTGGTTTCATTTGTAATCATAACCATGCAAATCAGAAAGTTTTGCCGTGTCCAACATCAGCTAAATGAGAAAAAGCTCCATCGACCGCTCGTAATTCTCTCGCCAAAGTTGAACAATGGTTTGCCAGTTTACCAGTTTGGCGACTGCCCGTTGTCCAATACTCAATGTTATTTTCGCATTACGTTGTCCTGGATAGAATAAGAAAGAAACAAGATGAAAAAAAAAAATTAACTGCAATGCCTCTTGGTAGCAACTGCTCTGCACAACATATGCCATTTACGTTCTCAGGTTTCCTTTGTCTGCGATCGTCAATCTATCCGTAACTTCTGCATCTTCCTGGTTTTAGTTCTGAATTGAGGACTTTTGTCCACTAAAGAGTGGAAGAGGTGAATTTATAAGAAATGACAGGTTTTCGGCTGGGTGGACCGTCCCCGCGACTCTGTTCCGAACGTCTGCTCGGTAAACCGGGGAAAGCTGGGAAGCCTTTCCATGAAATATTTTCTTCTGTCGGCCCGTAGAGAGGCTGCAGGAACTCCAATCCCTCCATTAATCCCTCTAATTCCCCCTCAGCTGTCCCTCTTCTTGGGCGGTGGGAATTTTCATGAAACAAACCTGGAAATGTTAAAACTGAAATTGTGGAACACTATTATGCCGAATGGGTGGAAGAGTCGAGGAGGTGCTCACATGGGAGTGTGAGCTTTTTGCATTTCTCAATTTTTTTTCGTATCTTCCTGAATTTGTTTAACTTTTTAGTTATAGCAGATCCAATTTGTTGTGCATCTCTTAAATGATCAGAACCATAAAGAACACTCTTCGATACAATACGAACTTCAAGAAGACAGAAGCTAATATAGTCCGGCATATTAACAGAAGTAAAATCACGTAAGAAAGTGTGAATTTACTTCGTCCGAGAATTATATTTGCCTGTCGTAAGAAGACATATGTGTGCATCTGAAGTGGGCCTTGTACGAGCAATTTTCACTCGTGAGTCGTCTGCAATCACACTCGAAGTGATCTCAAACAGAAGTCCAAGGAAGCCTTTGTGGCATTTTTCCTTGTTTGTTTCTCCTTTCCTTTGTTTGGGCTATACTGTAAATTCATTTTTTTTTCCAGCTGAATAGTAGCTGGGTGCTGTCAAGGTCTTTGGGAAAATAAAGAGGACATTGTTGAGTGTGCCATTATGTGCATTACTATCCTTGAACCTTGTGGAAATTCATTCATTTCTGTGAATGAATGCATTTTATAATGCTTCTAAGTCTTACGTGTGCCATGCAAATGCATGCAAATGCAAATGCAAATGCAAATGCAAAGTTTGACTCTCTCGACAACTATATTTTGGAAACTTTTTCGTTTAATGCACTTCTAATTAGCATCTAACCAGTCAATTTGGGGAAATTTTTGCTAGTCGGCAGCAGTCAGAACCATTGCTGAGGTCGAGTCCATCGTCTTCCTCCCCGAGTCATCCGCATTTTGATTTTCTCTGCAGACAGTTGCAGCCGACATGGAGTCGATATGGAGCGGAAAGACGTGGGAAAACGTGCGGCTCCATTTTTGCGGGACGTGCGAGTACCGCTCGATGAAGAGAACCGACCTGACGAGGCACGTCCGCATTCACACCGGAGTGCGGCCGTACGCCTGCGAGGAGTGCGGGAAGAGCTTCTCTCAGAAGGCGCATCTCACTCGCCATCTGAGCAGTCACGTGTATCGTTTGTGATCGGTGTTCCGCCAAACGTTGAATTTGGGCACCACGCCTATTGAGGTCTTAAGCACCCGATGTTCATCAGAGACATATAATTGCCTGAAAAATTCCATCAATCAGGTGGTGTCCCTATGCTTATTTTCCCTCCGGCTATATTTTGAGTACCATTTAGGTGGTACAGGTGGTACCATACAAATATGAACTACTGATGTTTCCTGTTTTGAATTTCCTTGGAAATGCAATAGCTAATATGATATCAGGGAGCTCTAGCTTTAACCAATTGCCTGCACAAACAGGACTGATAATGTGATCACTTTATTTCTTTCATTATTTTTGATAGGATTGTCGGTTGCGAAGTTGGAATCCCTCGGTCGGTTATTGGGTTGAGAGATAGGAACGAAAATGTAGACTTGAGATGTTTGCTGGAATTAATCTGTTACCGGAAATTGCACCCGTGGTCTTCGCGCTCGGATTTCTCGTCCCGAGCTTCTCGGGTGAAGGGAGGAGCCCTTTGAAACCTCTGCTCTCGTCTTCCTTTAAGAGCACTTAATGCCAAGGGCTTGGGGCCACTCGGTGGAATCGCGTGCTCGTAATGAATCTGGGCCACGTCTTCCCTATTCCTGAGACTTCTCCAACATAACTTCTCCAGAGGTTGATCCCCTATCACATTGAAAATGTTGGTCAGGGAAATTATCTGGAATCAGTCATAAATATTTAAAAAAAATCAAATTCTGCATATCAACAGATTTCCCCCCCCCCCCAGTTGTTTGCCATATGACTCTGCTTGTGGACATTTCTTCTTGCTAAATCTGATTTTTTTATTCATGATCCATTTGAGGAATTTTGAAGAATACTAATGCTTAAGTTAATGTGCGTGCCTGCATCTTCTTGTGCACGACCACTGTGATTCGTGATGTGATGCCACCACTGTGAGGGAGAAGATTTGAAGACTGGAAGACCCAAGGAATGACCAGGAGGAAAGTACTTAATTTGCAGTCTCATTTCTGCTTTGTTGTGCACTGAGATCAACAACATGGTTTTGTGTTTTTTTTTTGCGATTGTGCAGGTGCACTGTCAGTGAAATATTAATAAATGCGTTTATTCCCGATCAAGTTCAGTGTGCGTTCGATTACAGACTTCTCCTTTAAAATTTGTTGTGAAAAATGGTTTATGGAATCCAATAAGAATTTTGTGTTCACAGTGATTAGCATCCTGTGGATCAAGAAATAAGAAATGTGATTATTTTATTGATTTTTCAAGTTCATTGATGTCCATTGAAATATATCAGGTTTTTTAATGAGTCATTTTGGTAAATATGATTCATTTTGCTTGAAAGAGATATTCTTTTTGATAAAAACCAATATTCACCTGACTTTTCAAATGGTGTAACAAATAATTATGATTCCTATTGACAAGCATTAGTATCACAATTTGACGAGTAAGGTGAATATAACAGAATTTGGTTAATATTGTTAAATATTATAATCATTTCTGTATTCCTTATTTGTTCCCCTCACCCCCAGTTTTCCCTCGGGTTTCCTCCGCAGACCGTCGCGGCGGGCGTGGGGCTGGTGTGGAGCGCGAAGACGTGGGGCAACACCCGCCTCCACTTCTGCCAGCTGTGCGGCCACCACTCCACCAACGAGAACGACGTCGCCCGGCACGTCCGCATCCACCCCGGCGTGAAGCCGTACAACTGCGAGGAGTGCGGGCGAAGCTTTTGCCAGAAGGCGCACCTCACCCGCCACCGGATCAGCCACCGGAAGATCTCGTGACGCGTCGGCGAGCACGTCGGCGAACACGTCGGCGAGCGCGTCGGCGAGCACGTCGGCGAGCGCGCGTTGCTGTGATCCTTGCTGCATTTTTGTAATAAACTAGTCTTTGTTCAAGCACCACGAGGGAATTCATGCAACTCAGCAAAAAAAATTGAAAGATGAGATGGTAAGGGTAGGTAAGGTAACTTTTAAATGTAACAAAGCAGCATGTTTTACAGGCACAATATCGTATCATGAAATCGTTTGAGCAGATAGCCGATTTTACTGCAGTGTCCGCCCGAATGATTCTGTTATGTGATTTTTTTTCGGCTTAGCAGCAGATTTTTTGGAGGATTGCAAAATTTGCAGGATTGCAGAAGAAGAAACATAGATAATACTAAAATCACATACTGCGAATCTGCATTTTACAAATAATTTTGCTATTGTTATGCAGCAGGTAACCCCAGCAAAGTGCTTCACATCAAAGTAAGCCAATGAGTATTTGGAGTAGATGACCAAGAATGGCTCCGACCTATTTTGATTTGCGATTTTGCATGCCATTTTGAAATGTTTGTCTTTCAGAAGCCGCAACCTTGCTCTGGTCCCGATTTTCGCGCGAAAGATCCGCAGAGACGACGGCGCCGTCGCTTGCTTTCGTGGTTATTTCCTTACCGAGTTTTATTTTTTCGTTCTCTATCTTAAGTAAATGCTGTTAACATTTATTATAGATTACGATTTAAAAAAACAGGTTCCCGTGGTCGCTTCAGCGAATGGATTTTATTTTTGTGATGCCTCTACTTTCTAAGAAAGTGTCCTCTCGTCCTGGAAAACTGAAAATAATCAATATTGTTTCAAGTAATAGCTAATACTATTGTGATTAATATGTATATTGTGCATCTCGAACCTCCTCGTTTAACTTAATAATCATTGGGGGATGAATGAAATAATTGAGAGAAGCTCCTACTTGCTTTGACAAAGTCTTGTCTCTGAATTTCCCTGAAAAAGATTTTCTTGCAAAACTGTGTTTGCCACCAAGTCAGGAAACCATTTTGAAGTTAGTAAAAAAAAAAGGCAAATAGGTGTCTCAGCCATTTCAAAGTTTAGATGATGTGGTCTTCCGCAAATAAAGCTTGTGTTAATATGAATGAAGGAGATGGCTTGAAATGTGTTGAAATGGCTGAGGATATCTTCAAAATTCAATTATTTTCAGATATGACTTCTCATTGCTATTAACAGTTGGTGGCGTTAGATGACGATTACTCCTTAGACTGCTTTTGATCCCCCAAGCCTTGCTCCTATGCACGGTTGAGGATATCTCAAGTCCTTGGGGACACAACTTTCGTTACTTTCTTTGTTGGGTCACCCTATGTGGCCTTTATGTGATATTGTGTCCTTAAAATGCCTTTCTTTATTCATTCATCGTGCATGAGTTCCACCCGCTAGGTTGATCATCGAGCGAGTTGAAAGTATGGCTGGGGGCAGCAAATATAACCTCAAGTGGGACTCCCATCACACGGAGACCTTTGGCAGTCTCGATGCCCTTCGCAGCAGAGAAATGTTGGTGGACATCACATTGTCTTGCGACGGCCAGTTGCTGAAAGCGCACAAGTNTGATCCTCTGCGCAGGGTCGGGGTACTTCGAGAGGGTGCTCCGTCACGATGGCAGCCAAAACCCCGTCTTCTACTTCTTCGGCGTGGACGCCCATCTCCTGAAGCTCCTCATCGGCTTCATTTATGTCGGGGAGGTGGACATCCCCTCGGTGGATCTGGAGAGGTTCATCCGATTGGCCGAGGCCCTGGAGGTGAAGGGACTGAAGGATGATCACTCCAAGAGAGCCAACAGTTCCGTGTGCGATGCAGCCAGGACGTCCATGCCGAACAACGGGGATGCCTTCGGTCACAGGAGCAGATCCTCTGACGAGGACTTCCAGTATTCCCCAAGTATCGTGAAGGCTCATCGGCGCGAATTCTGTCGATCTGCTGATCCTACTCCAAGGGTGATGTCTCAGGTGAGGTAGATGATATCCTCTGTAATTTCCTTCTTTCTCAGGTTGCCTTCTTTTTTTATTATAAAGATAAGCTCATCTGCACCAAATATTCTACGTTCTACATACTTGGCATTGAATGACACCTAGAAAGTTGCAGTCATGAATCCTTTTCCCAGAGACCCTGTGTCCATCATTGCCATGTCTGGCCTTGTTCTCCATTTTCAGGGTCCAGTCATAAGCAAGTCACCTTCAATAGCATCCACATCCAGCACTGTGATTTCTTCATCTTGGCCAACGGTCAGTCTTACCCAAGAAGAGCCTGTGATTAAAAAGGAGCTTGTGGATGTGGAAGAGGATTCTGTGCAAGCTGAGGACATGATGCATTCGGTCAGAGGATACCATTTTTTAAATCTTATTTTAAAAAGTGAAATTTCATCAGGAAATTCATTTTGTCTCTCATAGCTGCTTGCATATTATATTTTTTTCATTGCATTCTTTAAAGGAATCTTCTTTATATATAGTATAACATTTTTATTTAAATATTTTCATTTTATACTCATCTTTGACTTGAATAATTGAATTTGTTTGTCTAATGTAAAAAGGGTGAGCAGGATGACTATGATGAGGAGTCACAGTCCTTTCACCTGGAAGTTGACGATGATGCGACCAGGAGCGACCATGCTGCACCCAAGAACGTACCGCCCGAAGTGGACCCCTCCGTGAGTCAGAGAAAAAGTTTCTGAGATAGCAGTGGCACTAGACCAATGAATGTTGCATGTGAAATTTCTCATCAGATTGATTTACAGTCATTTATCCGTGTTGGAATTGACTTGCCTGAAGAGACTTATAATCCACAGCAATTTTTTTTTTAGCTTGGTGAGCCTTATGTCAAATTAAAGGATGGAAATTAATTTCATTTGATCGCATCTTGATGAATCCTATATGCATCAGTTTTGATTCATTTCATCCTCAAAATGCAGTCTGATTTTGCATGCAGAAGATGTCTCGTTAGATGTGGATCTCCCGGCACAGTTTCATTGATGCTTCTTACAAAATGAATGAAATAATTCCCAGAAATAGTTTTAAGGATCTCTCCGTGGATATTAGCCACTGCAGTCTGTCTCTCCTGTCTGTGCCAGCTCTATTCTTCGTGCTTCTATACGCTTTTTTACACGAATGAGTGGAAGGGCTAGAACATGGGAATCATTTTTAGCAATTGAGTAAAATGCTGAGGTGTCTAACTGTAGAGCTTCACAATTGACTGCCAAAGTGGAGTTGAAATAGCTTATTTCGAATGTTTAGAATGTGAAATTCTCAGCTCTTTTCATAGACTTCGTATCCAGATGTTCACACATCATTGCGGTAAGTTTGTGTTCGTCACGCTGCTTGAGAATGCCTTATGAGCATGCTGCCATGCATGACAGACTTGTGATTTAGGAGATGAGTGTCCTTTAAGTGATTGATGTCACAGTCAGCAACTGCTGACTGACAATCGGGTCAATCCACAATCGGATTGAGCCGAAATTGTTTCGTCGTGCTGAATCTTCTCCGTATTCAACCGTGCTGTTTGTGC